TATATATATATATATATATATATATATATATATATATATATATATATACATACATACATACATATACAGTACATGTTAACTATATGTATGCAAATAACAATATACATACAAGTGCAAAACACAAAATCTATGTAAGGACTAGTTTAGTCTAATACAGATAAGATATGGTACAATATTTTGAATACAGACTAACCTGCACAGACAAACCTCCTTGTAAGAGGATTATTTCATTGAAGTATTGAAGAATAGTCTTGTACTTCTCGTCTTTGTAATCAAATCGACTCCCAAACACCAAACAACAGATGATGTTGGACACAGCGTTGTTTATAAGTGATTGTGCATTAAAAGGCATACCTGCCAAGTAAAAACCACAGATTAATTAAATTTAATTAAAAAAAATACAAGAAAAGTTAAAGATGCATTGATTGCAGTACTTTTAGGTAAATGTTTAAACAATATTTTATACCTTGCTGTTCAGTAAAAGCCTCTGTGAGGTACTGGCACTCCTGCTGGATGTAAAGTGCCAAGTCTCTCTTGCCCAAGCCAAAGTTTCTAAGCGTGTGAAGTGCAAACCTCCTCTGAGTCTTCCATGGATAACCATTAGACATCACAAGACCTTGTGTGGGGGGAATTAAGGCAAATACTGATATACTAACAACAATGAAAAGTAACTTTTCAAACAAAACAAAAGAATGAATACCTTTGTTCTTAAAAATTTCTGAAAACAGTGGAATGGCAGGACGATCAATGAAGTCCTCTCCTTGTTCGACCAGGGCCTCTTTCACATTTTTGTAGCCATTTATGATCACAGCTCTTTCACCAAAGAGATGAAGACTGAAAATGTCTCCATATTTCTCTGAAAACTGAACACAGACACCAGATTAGTAAAGAACAGAAAATAACTTTCTTCTGCAAATTCCTTAAATTACCTACAGCTGCCACAAATGTCACCATAAATTTCAGAGGAATATAACTTGTACAAAAATGTATGTTCTTACATTACACACACACTAAATTGTGCCAATAATAATTGCCTGTATTATAAAGTCCATGACTAACTTTAAAATGCTTTTGTACTGGCTTCACATAAGGCAATTTTGTGATCAGAGAAGTGAAAAATAGAAGTTTAAAAATCCCCATCTATGTTTTTGTTTGTTTGTTTACACTTGTAGTGTTTAGAGCTTAAAATAAACCCTAGTTATTTCACTTTCTCTACTTTTTAAGAACTTACTCAAATATATCAGATTTTTGCACTGTTTGTAAATATTTTTGAAGGTGCCTTCAGTGGCTTGCAGTTTATCAGATTCAGAATATTTTAAATTTATTATTGGTTTATAGTTATTTTAAGCATAAATCTAGATCACTGTCAAGTTTAAAATCTCAAAATGCTATGACAAAGGAGCATGAAGTTCTCTCAGGGCATACATTAACAAAAAGAAAAATTACACAAACCTTTCCAGCTGTAATTGGTGAACGCCCTAAGGAATCAAGTGAAAGGCTTAAACTAAAGAAAGTCAGGAAAGCCACATCAATGTTGACTATCAACTTGCAAACCCAAATTTGCACAGAACAGAATATGCTCCTTCAATACAACTACCTGTGGATTTTTCACAACCCTCACATCCAATATCTACACAGCATAATGCAGCAACATAACTACATTGCAGAAGCCCTTCTTCAGCAACAGCATTTAATGTCTTTACCAGCTACATTACACTATTTGATGGAAATCTTCTGGAATTTAAAATGTAAATCAGAGTGTTTGAACATACACAGAAGACAGAACTAATAAAACTGATAGCTTATACTTTTTGGAACAGTTCACCTGAGGGCAGGCAAGGGAAATTTTACATACCTGTCAAAACATGAATCATAAACATGGATATGCACTGGCAAAAAAAAATAAACTATTGCGTGAACACTTTGCAAAACTCTTTGTTTTTAAGCTGTTGTAACTTAATGAGATTAATTGATGGCATGAATAAAATGGACACACCAACTACAGTGAGAATGACAATGTTTAAACTACAATTTAACCTATGAGACAAATGGAGGATTGCTCCACATGAAGTATCTGAAAAACAAATGCTGAGCAATGTTTGATGATTTAGTTGCTTTCACACTTGCTGGACTGGAGGTGGCTGGTTTAAATGCTGAGTGTTACTAGCACTTACCAGACATGTTCACTAAAGAAAAAAACGCCTGTCATCTAACAGCCTTATAAAATCAGAAATCCTGGAATGATGGCCGTAGTTGTCAGGCATCTAAATTCCTTATATAAAATCAAACTCAAAGAAACAAAGAAAGCCAGCTTTGGACTTTCTCAAAAATGGGTAAAATCTTTTTAACCACTGCACCAGTGATTCACAGGGAATCACTTCCACATATCGACAAGGCTCTCAAGACAAAAAACCTGATTCTCTCTCCCAAAAGTTTGAAGAATCAGAAATGCCAGAGTCCCCCTCAAACATACTGCTGTCTACTTGTATTCATCACATAGGAAATTGAGAACATCCTTTACAGAACTCAGAACAGTGAACCAACCAATTCAGGCACCGATTCTCCTAACGTACCAGCAGCTGCTAGATCTCGGGCGTTGCAGTGACCACATAACTCAAGGTTTTTCTGCCATCCAGGGGTCAACCACACCCTAAATTTTATCCAGAAAACATTCTGGTGGCCTACTTTGATACCGAATCTAAAGGAATATTTCTCAGCCTGCCCTACATGCACCCAGAACAGAAGCCTCTGACCAACTTCAGTCTCTGCCCATTTCTAATCCATCCTTGGTCTGGCATATCCTTGAACTTTTTCACCAGTTCAGCCCACCCCGATGGTAACTATATTATTCCTAAAATCCCCTAAACACTCTTCTCCATGTTAACGAGCTCTCCGTTCCATCCATTCAGCATCACGAACAACAACAACAGGAGGTTCTGGCAGGAGACCCAGGCCACCCTTCTATTTATTGCTGAGGGAAAAAAGAAGTTTGCCGATGTGTTGTCTTAGAAGAAAAAGGTTGTGTACTAATACGTACCTTACCTGTCTGCAGATTCCTTTGTATTCTAATGCCTCCCTGGGCAGTGTCCTGGTCTTGCAGTTGTCAACTTAAAACATTGTCTCAAACATGAATTTGATTCCATATCCTCCTTGAGTGGACCCAGCTCCAGGATATCCCTTCTGGTGCACACAGGAGAAGTTTGCTTGGCTTTAATCCCATTCCTATCTGTCCAGCCTTCCCACTCTTATCTGCCATTCATACTCACCTCACCTGGACCTCTAAAACCATCCTTTCCTTCCCTTTCCTTGGAACCTGAAAACACAACAATTAAGAGCAGTAACAACAGACATTGTTGTTGAAAGTTTTCTGAACTAATTATTGGCTCATTCCCCTGACAGAATCAGTTAACCCCTGCTCCTGTTATTGTTTCCACAGATGATCACTCTTTTTTCTTCCTATATCATCCATTCATCCAAACATTATGTTCCACTTGTTCCAGAGTCGGATTGTGGGGACAGCTTGAGCAGGGAAGTCTACACATCTCTTTCCACAGCCATCTCTTTAGTTCATCTGGGAGGATTCCAATGCATTCCCAGGCCAGCCGAGTCTCTCCAGTGTGTCCTGGGTTTTCCCTGGGTCTCATCCCAGTCATATATGCCCAAAAAACTTCCCTAGGGAGGTGTTTAGGGGACATCCTTGCCAAATGCCAGAACCACTATATCTGATTCTGCTTGATATAGAGATGCAGAGACTCTACTCCAAGTCTCTTCTGGTTAACTGAACTTCTCCCCCTATCATTAAGAGAGTCCAGCTACGCTATAGAGAAAACATATTTTGACCACCTGTATTTGCAATCCCATTCTTTTGGTCATTATCCAAAGTTTCATAGGTGAGGGTACGAATGTAGACTGACCAGTAAACAGAGAGCTTTGCCTTGCAGCTCAGTTCTTTCTTCATCACAACAGACCAGCTCAGTGTCCGCAGTACTGTAGAAGCTACAATAATCCATCTGTTGATCTCACATTCTATATTTCCCTCACTCATGAACAAAACTCTGAGATGTGCGAACTCTTTCTCTTGAGGCAGCACCTCCCTCCCAACCTGGAGAGGGCAATCCACCCTTTTCCAACTGAGGCTGAGACCATGATCTAAGATTTATAGATGCTGATCCTCATCCAGGCCACTTTACACTTGGCTGCAAACCACTCCAGAGAGAGCTTGAGATCAGGGCATAATGACACCAATAGGACCACATTATCTGCAAATAGCAGGGATGAAATCCTGAGTCCCCAAACAATACTTCCTCCAACACCTGGCTACACAAAGAAACACTATACTGAAACGGACTAATTTGTCCATAAAAGTTACATGAATAAATATGTAAAAATAAATGAAACTGTAAATGTCCCCGTTTTTCATTTCATCTTGATAAAATGTTGTCGTTTTTGGGTTCCGAGCTGGAAATGTCCCCAGATTTCACTTCAGAAATCTGGTCACCTTACCTGAGTGTCCTAAACATGTGGCCACAGATCAGATGACATGACTACAAAGTCAATATTTACTTATAATACTTAGAGTGTCCTGGTGCCATGTGCACTTTTGGACACCCCCGTGTTCAAACATGGTGTTTGTCATGGACAAACCATAGCACATAAGTCCACTCAGAACTGTTGTTTAATACGTAGACGCAAACAACATTTATATCCCATCTCCCTGCCTTAAGGTGTAGGAAAGCTGCCCTCTCATCTACTGGGGAAAACTCCAACAAACAGGCACTAAACCAGACTATAAGTAGACCCACAACAGCCTAGCAGCTCCAGAGCGGAACAAGGTCCAGCCACTTTCAAGGACATTGTTTTCAGAGTCTATGCCATTTATCAAGAGGAGCCCAACTATATCTAGTCTATACAAGAGCAGCTCTGGTAAGCCAGGGTCAGACTGACTATGCTCCTGCCTTAGGCTACTACCCACTACCAGTATGCAACCGACTCGTATGGTCCCTCCTGCAGGTGATAGGCCCACACTAAGGTGGACTCATGTAGCTCATTTGGGCTGAGCCCAATCAGCCCCATAGTGAGTTTCCAGTGGTGTGGATCACCAAGCACTCATACAGGCCTGGCTTTCGGGTAGGGCCTCCAGGTGATTCATTTAACCTTTATTTATGCAGGTTGCATATCAGATCCTTCTTGTCATCTGTCTATCTGAATGCTCTTAATCATTCCTTGTCTGGCCTGTCAGCCAGGACCAATCTGCCTTGGGATATAGCGCCTAGGATCATTCAGGCCTACAACCTCCTCCACTACAATAAAGTGACAATTCATGGCCATGATTCATTCCAATACCTTTCTAATTAAATCCTCTTTCATAATACTTACATGTATTCCGTTTGTGGTTTTTTGGGTCTTATTACTATGAAATCTGTAAAACTTTAAGCAGTTTTTATGACAAGAATATTATACTGCAATTTTAATAAATTATGGTATCAAATGCCATCAAAATAAATTTAGAATTTTGTATAAAGAGGCATTACACAAAACACAAACCCATTATTACGGACCAGTAAGTTATATAACATAATATAAGTTTTATAACCGGTATAATTATCTACTTTTTCCCTGCTGTTGCAATTTTACAACCTTATATATATATATATTCCCTACACGACGCTCTTTTATTTTTCTCTCTATTTATATATATATATATAGGAAAACAATAAATATCTTTGCTTTGACCTATGTAAACTGTGTACAGTGTTTATTGCAGTAACAGATGTAAGTCCAGTCGATGTCCCTTTATATAATGCCTTCTGTTATCTTTGTCAAATTGCCTGAACCACAGCTCTTTTTGATATCATGTCAGAATTTACAATATTAACCTTATAGTTAATTATCTGAATTTATATTCAAAAAACAAATTACGAGAAGGAAAAAAAAATCGATAAAACTAATACAAGTGGATTATAACAGATATAATTGTGAGACTTGTTGGGATTTAAGTACTCCTGTACCTCTACTAACTGCAGGTGGAGTCTGGAAGGCTTGATGCGATGAAGATCTCCAATAAAAGGAAGAGACTGAGGTCCTGGAGGAAAGTTTTTTGGTTTTCTGTTCTTCAAAATGTTGTTGATCAGCAGAAAGATACATACAAATATTAAAATACTTCGAGCATCTAAAAACTCCAAGCCCAGAATAGTGTATACTGCCTCCATGTTCTGGTTTAGCAACACTGCTACAGTTTCAGCTCTGCCATGTGACTTATCGCATAATGAGGTGCAATGTGCACCTGGCTTTGAAAAAAACCACACTTGTGCGCATGCACATTGTCTCCGTGTTCTGTGTTCAAAGATCAATGTTATTTGTGCAAAATGTCAAATAAAAGTTGACTGTTACTGTTTAACATGTCAGTAAATACTAAATTAATGATTGAAAGTTTAAAACTGATAACAAAAAATGGCAATAAAGATGATTAAAATCCAGACCCCAAACTCCCAAAGTCTTCCTTCTTAATTTTTATTTTTTATGCACCTAACATTTAAACAACTGATTATGATACTCTACACGCATGTGTTTTTAGGTTAATACCAAAAGCACTCTCAAAAAGGATTCAAGGATTCAAGTTTCTTTATGTGTCATACACATCACATGTGGTACATGTGGTGGAAGGAAATTGTGTACACAGGGTCCTAGTTACATCCAATAAAAGTATTAAAATGTAAAAGAAAAACAGTAATAAGATCTAAGATATGAACTAAGAAAAACATCAACTAAATAATACACTAAGCACTAATAGTATAAAAACATTACATCGAACAGCAGCACGAACATGAGTCTGTGTGATGAGCATGAACGAACACAGCAACATGAAACAGATCAGCAGCAACATGATGTGATTTTTCACAGTGATTATTCTGGTTAGAGATTCATGAGTCTAACAGCCTCAGGGTAGAAGCTGTTCCTCAGTCTAGTGATTCTACACTTAATGCTCCTTAACCTCCTTCTTGAGGGGAGCGGGGCAAAAAGTGTGTGTGCTGGGTGAGTGGGGTCCTTCATGATGCAGGTGGCCCTCTTCCTGCATCTAGAGGTGTAAATGTCTGTGATGGTGGGGAGACTGACTCCAAACAGACTTCTGTGTAGCCTTCACCACTCTCTGCAAAGCTTTTCTTTCTGCAGCTGTGCAGCCTCCATGCCACACGTTGATGTTGGAGCACAGGATGCTCTCCACTGCACACCTGTAGAAGGAGGTGAGGACTGAGCTTCCCAGACCAGCTCGTCTCAGCCGCTTGAGGAAGTAGAGTCTCTGATGAGCTTTCTTGATCAGGCTGGTGGTGTTGTTGCTCCAGCTGAGGTTGTCATTCAGGTGTACACCCAAGTACTTGTAGCTGGAGACCACTTCCACCGCAGATCCTCCAATGTTCGAGGGGGTTGGGGGGTGTCATAGGTGTGTTTGTTTCTTCTGAAATCCACAACCATCTCCTTCATCTTCTTCACATATATGTGAAGGTTATTGCACCAGCTCTCCAGGTTTTCTACCTCCTAGTTGTAGCTGGACTCATCGTTGTTTGTGATGCATCCCACCACCACTGTATCATCTGCAAACTTTACAATGTGACAGCCTGGATGGATAGGTGCACAATCATATGTGAGCATAGTGAACAGGAGGGGACTCAACACACAGCCCTGAGGAGAGCCAGTGCTGAGGGTTATGGTGGAGGAGGAGAAGTTGTGGATCCTCACAGACTGTGGTCTGTTTGTTAAGAAGTCTAGGTCCCAGTAGCAAATGGAGGGGCTTAGTCCTAGTGTGAGTAGTTTGTCCATCAGTGTTTGGAGGATAATAATATTGATGAATGATTGATTGATTAATGAAGCTCTTACTGTTTTGAAAAAAGAGGAGGGTTTGCACCAGATTCATAAACTTGGGCTAATTAAGAATGAATTTAGGACCTCAGAAAAACAAAGAATGGTTATGATGTTTTGTGAGTATTGTGGAAAGGTGAAACAATTATCCTGCGTGTTGCAGATAGTCCTTTGAGCAAATAGAGTTGAATTCTAACAGGATTGATGGGTTTATGTGAATGCAACATTATAAACCCTTTGTTTTAAAGTGTTGCTGCAAAATTATTATGATGTAAAATGTCCAGTTGAAACAGAAGTATGATCAGTTCCTCAGTGGGTTTGCAGATGCGCTGCAGTAAATCATCCTATTGAAAGCCTCAACATTTATTCAGATGGTTTTGTTATTTAATGCAGATTTTATTTTTAAAAAAGTAGGAGACGAGTGTCTGCTTTGTTTAAAACAGAACCTGCTTCTTGTGTCCTTTACACAGTATACTGTAAGCAGACAGCTGAAACACTGCCAACTCTGGCCTTGTTTTTCTTTTCAAAAGTCCCAAGAGTCCATTCACATTTTCATTAACATTCCAGAGCTTTTTTTTCTAGCTGTGTGTGTTTTTTTTTCTAGCTGTGCACTCTTCTCCCTGTTAGTTGCAAACTCTGCGGCGCTGCCTGCCAGCTGGACACAACTCGAGTGTTACTTCTTTGATGGCCCTTTTGTAAAACTTTTTCATCATGATTTTTCAAGGCCTTTTTGATCAAATTGACTTCACTAGTTGGCTTCTGTTGACATTTCTGCTGCTGGTTTCTATTGATATGGTGAAAAACTGGAGGCCTCGCAACTTCCCCCCTGGACCCTGGGGTGTGCCTTTTCTAGGCAACGTCTTCACTGCAGTTGATTTTAAATCTATGGAGAAGGTGAGGTGAAAAAGGAAAGTGGTTAATGTGTGTAACATCTACTGTAAATCATTATAATTATGAATAAGACTCATCAGTTTCATAAAATCTAATTGTTTTAGTTTATTATGGTTTTGTTTTTCTTAGAATACTTACATCTCTATCAAATATTTCCTCCCATAAGATCAAACTTTTCCCTCCCAAATGCAGCTTGCAAAGGAGTACGGCCCTGTGTTTAGCCTGAGGAAAGGAAGCACAAGATTTGTATTTATTTCAGGGTACAAGATGGTCAAAGAGGCCCTCGTTAATCAGCTGGACAGCTTTGTCGACCGACCTATTGTTCCTCTTTTCCATGTAATCTTCAAGGGCCTTGGTGAGTGAGTGAACATGCAAGCATGAACTCTGTGACTGCTTTAAGTCTTTTCTCAGTTGAAGAAAATATTTGTTTTTATTTAGTGATGAGGGATCATCCCAGAATATGTTCAGTTTGAAATCTGCACAAGGATGTCCTTCATCCTAAACCAGCACAGCAGATATTAGAGAGACAATAGAAGACCTGTAATTTATTCAGAATATTCATGCAAGGATATTTACATAAAATGTTCTTTTAAAACTTGAATTTACATTCTCGCAGGTATCGCTTTGAGCAATGGTTACTTATGGAAGAAGCAGAGGAAGTTTGCCAGCAGTCATCTGCGTTATTTTGGAGAGGGCCAGAAGAGTCTAGAAAAATACATTGAAGTGGAGTGCAACTTTCTTTGTGAGGCCTTTGAAGAGGAACAAGGCAAGTAAATGGTTCTTGAAGCTATTAAATTTTTTTATTTGTCTCATTAAATTCACTGATTAAATTTAGTTCCCAAAATTTCTAGGAAGACCATTCAACCCCCACTACATGATGAAAAATGCAGTGGGTAACATCATCTGCTCTGTGGTCTTTGGGCATCGATTTGAATACTCTGATCCAAGTTTTCGCAAAGTTCTGGAGTTGGACAATGAAGCCATTGTGCTCTCTGGCTCTCTTCAGACTCAGGTAATTTTTTTGTGGTGTTTTTATGGATAAAAATAGTCAATTTTGTTTGTCTCCAACTAACCTGAGCTTTGATCCCATCAAACAGCTGTATGATGTCTTTCCTGGGTTAATGACGTACCTGCCAGGACCCCACCAGGCAGTCCACTTTAACTATAGGGAGATCCTCTCCTTTTTAATGAAGGAAATAGAGAAACACCAGGAGGAGTGGAACCCGGATGATCCTCGAGATTTTATTGATGTATACCTGGCAGAGATGAAAAAGGTAATTCAAGACATTTCATTTATAAAAACTGGTCTTGGTTAAATTAGATAGCCAGTTGATACACTGGACAATAATCCAGATGTGCATTTGATTTGAGCTTATTCATGGCTGCTGATGCAATAAACCAGGTTGAACAAGGGTTTTTGTCATAAGTTGTAAAAAATATCTACATCAATTTGTTAAAACAAAAACACAAAATATGTCATAATTGTAATTTGTCATCAAAGTTTAAAAAAGCAAAACCCTATATAAAGGAAAAAAAAAAAAACATTTTCTAAAAGCTAAATGCAGGAAAATGCCAGTGGGAGTTTTCCTTCTCTGTTTTCATTGTTCAGGTTTACTAAGATGAAAACAATTGACGTGTCAGGGAATGGGGAAACAAGAACTGAGTGCCTGTTAAAAGTGCATGAAGGCCCAGCGTTCAGCCTGTTATTAGCTCAACTAAATGTTTTAAAGGACAAGGAGTTTGCTAGGCTTCCCTGACATGATCAGTTTATTTTCACCTGTTCAAAATGTGTCACATATTCTGAAACACAAAAGCAGATGAATAAATTTGCAATAGAATAATTGCATTAAATAAATGGCACAGATAATGATCAAAATTATTCATAATTCTAAAGACTTCACACTGAGAAAAAAAACTTCATATCATGAATAGTGTGCTATTTTTTCCTAAAGCGTAAAAGAACATTCAGTCACTTAATCTAAATCTATCTGAATCTAATTAGTTGTCCATGAATGATACATGTGCAAAATAACCAAGATGGCCGCGCTCAGAGCAGTTGCAGCTTCACAGGCTCCCGGTACCATCCCAGTTTTTAGAAGTTTTGATATTGACTCTGTGCCTGACTCCGCGCGATTTATGCGTGTGAACTATAGCCGAACCGAACTGATGAGAATAGGAGCGGATTTGCCACGAAATATAGCAGAAATCAGCAACAAACTCAAAGCTAAGCTCGGCAGAATGCAGATCTTAAAGTCATCTACCTGGAAGCTGCAGCAGAGGCGTTCCAGCGGGCAGAAGAGGAAGTGCTGCTCCCGGCTTAAGAGGAGAGGATGCCGGGCGGGGGTTATGGTGAGGCTACGAGCTAACGCTAAAGCCGGTAAACTCCCCATGCCATCTCTCTTTCTGTCGAATGTCCGCTCGTTGGACAACAAGATGGATTTACTTCGTCTGAGAGCGGGCGCCTCAGAAG